GTGACCACACAGGCTGGAAGAGGAGAAAAACTTGAAAACTCCATCAGTAAGTTTAGTAAGAGCTTGGCTGAAGAAACAGAAAGGTAATATTCTCCCCCTTCCCCTCCCATCTCATTTGTTTTCGTTGTCAACGCTCATTTCCAGTCTTTCCTGGAAGTGATTTCTGATGTTTGACACCAACATATCCTTCTGGGAAGAGAAATAAAAGGAGGAAAAAGTTCTGAGAGAAAAAGGTAGTATTACTCGTATGACAATGTCAAATGCATTGCGCTGAACTGATTAAAGAACCCTGATGACCTTTCCATATTTTGAAAGTAGTTTAAAGCCACGCACCTTATAATCAAATTAAAATCAAGCCGTTTGCAGTAATCTGTGTTACGTTTTCGAAACTTTGTTTTCAAAGATGTGCTGTGTGTTGAAACATCTGTTTCATTCCAAAAGAGAAAGTGTACTACGCCATTATTTTTAGACTTTTGTTACCGAAGCAATTCCATTGATATGCGATATTAAGGCAATAGGATGGAACAATTTTGCTTGAATATTAAGGATTTGGTCGAGATTATACTGAAATACCCGTGAGGAAAGATGGAGGAAACAAGTAACATAGGTTAATTAAGAGAAAACTGTAGTAAAATTGGGATCTTGGAAGGGTTAGAAATGCTGCCGGCTAGTGTTACAGCTTGCATATTTAGCCAACTGAACTCCCATGTTAATCTAACACTACATTGGAATCACCCTTTTCAGGAATATATATATGCTCTTTGGCCTCGTTCCTCTGGCTATTGCCATCTTGAATGACTCAGAAAATATAACCATGCAGCCAGAGAGACAACTAAAATACAATATGAAGTAGGCTTGAATTAATTTACTTATTTATGAAGAACTTTTGAACACCTTGCTCTAGTGTTACACTAGCCTCCGCGGGAACTTAATTTCGCGAAAATGAAACAGGTATGTATTTTGCAGGAATTTGATTTCGCGGTCTGACCAAAAATGTGTATTAAAAGGAACTTAATTTCGTGATAATTGTCAAAATACTGATCTTATCAACAAACAGTTAATTTCAGAATTGGCCATCCTCAGAGACCCAGGAGCTTGGAGTCGACTTCGAGTCAGGGAGGGAGAGCTAGAAGTCTACCCACGGCCCTTGGTTCTCCGATTATGCGAATTGACACAACTAGTTTTAATCTTCCATGGCAATAGTTTCCAATGACAGTGAACAAAACTTTAGGAAACTAAAGACCGTCTCATATGTTATTTCACAAGGAGCCAGGTAGGAGTAGACTGTTTGGTGACCGCACCTAAGATATCTTACAAGAAAGCAGGAAGAAGATGATAATGATGCAGTCAAAGAGAACTCACACGCTGAAACTAAAATAGAGAACATGGACAGAACGATTACGTGGTAAACTGACATTTACGCTGACTTATTACATTGCAAGGTATGCAATTTCGCGTGGCTAATTTTTGCGGAAACCTTTCAATGCAGGTCGCCGCTTGGTTAGCATAGGTGGTCGAGTCCTGGCTATCGTGGGCAAGTTAGAGGGTTCAAGTCTTAACCGGACACACAATCGGGTTCTTAAAATAACTGAGGGGAAAGCGTTTCCTTTGCTACGACGTCTGCAAAGGGTTAGCTGTTCTAGTCTTCACAGAGATGGACGATAGACCACACGCCCCTTCTCCTGAATCCTCTCTGTACTGGTTTAGCAAGGGGAAGTTAGAGAACTCACCCACTTCTCGCAAAGAAAAGGGGACGTTAGAGAACCCACTCACTTCTCGCAAAAAAAGGGGACGTAGCTTCCGTTCTTGTGGTCTGGCCTTGTTATTGTTTATAAATATTTGAAGATTCTCCATAAGTATTTTCTTTATAGAGAGGTGGCACAATTAAGGAAGAGGAAGAAGAAGAAGAAGCATTTTCTGAAGGTGACCCCATCCGGTGGAACGTCAGAATGACGGAACATCCTCAGGTAAAATATGGAATGGCAGAATTTCACACAATGCGAAATGACAGAATATCCTAAAACACGGAATGAGGAGCACGTATTGAGATTTCCCATTCTAACTTGAATTACTGCATAAGAAGACAATAACGCTAAATACGATGTTTTAACAGCGAGGACAACCCCTCTTGATAGATAATAGGGAATGTCCTGAAATAAGCAATCACAACGTCAATTAGTGCTGAGGGAGCTGTGGGTGATTACAAGTGTTATCGCGTCATCTTCGTGTTGTCACGGGAGAGGAAATTATGACGAAGGAACATTGAATGTAAATGTTAACATTCATTCCTTCCGTGGTGAATAGCCTTCCGTTGCATTGAATTAGTTGGAATGAGATTTGGTTTCATCTCATATTTGATCACACTTCTTAGTGTCATTCGCTTCTCAGCTAAGTCCCTGTCCAACAAGTTAAGTATGTTACTGTAGACACTGGATTTAATTCATCGGACATACTAGAAAAACTGTGGTGCTGCGTCGGTGAGAGAGTATAACAGGGTAATTTAATCTTATCAAGTGAGTTAATAACGTAAATTTGCCGCCGTGAAGAGTTTCAAAGCTAACGTTTCGAGCGTTAGCCCTTCCTCAGAGCTTCATCTAGTCGCTCTGACGAAGGGCTAACGCTCGAAACATCAGCTTTAAAACTCTTTACGGTGGGCAATTTACTCCATTAACTTAGTTGATAATACTAAATTACCCGAACAAACTAGCGGTTTGGTCCTCAATTATTCCGTAATTGTAGGACCACAGGAGTTATACATGAATATGTCGCCCTTATGCACATTGTTCAACCATCGATCTCATTTACAAAGCCACAGAAGCTAGAAAGAGTTAGCATCAGATTTATGGAATGGTTGACAACCAGCTGAACACAGAAGCCAAAACGGCTGAAGGGCCTCTCGTCTCAATGAACCAACTTAAGCTCGTCTGGAACGCTTCATGCGTGACCTTGCTTCTTTTGCGGATGTAAACCTTCATAATCAAGGAAGTCTAACACCTTATCTAGAAAAATAATCGAATATTTTAGTTATGAATGCTTGTGCTAGAAACTTAAAGTCTTTGCATAATTGTCGTTATTGAGCTGACCTCGATTTGTTCGTGTCACATTATCGAGTTGGAACTAATTTACGGCATTCACCTTAAGAGTAATGAAGCGGATTCCCTCTGCATGCGTACTTTTAGTTGAAATTTATTTCTGAGAAGTGGAAAAAAAATATCATTAGCTCACTTCATTTAATTGAGCTCAAAGAGGTTCATACGAGGTAACCAAAGCGTCAGTAGGAATATTAATGTCGTCATAAAGTCAAGTTTGTTGAGTATGATTTCGTCATTCGTTTATATTTAGTTTGTACTTTTGTAGTTACTATATGAATTCAAAGCCCGAAGATATTTAGGAATAAGCTGCCACGATGAGTTCCCAAGTGATTAATATTTGTGACGGTCTTGTCTAACTTCCGGTAGTGGACGCGCTTAGTTTGTCTTCTGAACTTGATATGAACCCACTCGAAAGTTCTTATTTTGATTTATGCAGTCGAAGATTGATTCAGTTGTTCGGAAACATTAACTGCGTCTTACATCAAAGGTATCTCGGAACGCCTGCAAAGAGCGTTCAAGTCACACGATGTTACACTTATTCATAAACCCGTCAATTCTTTAAGATCACAATTGGTACGTGTCAAGGACACAACTGTCAATCTCAAGAAATGCGGTACTGTGTACCAGATCCATTGTGAGAAGTGTAACAAGGAGTACGTTGGCGAAACGGCCCGCGCTCTGGAAATCAGAGTAAAAGAACACCAATCAAGAAGTTCATCAGCTGTTCACGAGCATTGTCGCCTAGAGGGCCACTCGGTGGACCCCAATAAGATAAAAGTACTATCAACCGAAGTTAACACCTTCAAACGCAGGATAAAAGAAGCCATTCAAATTAAACTTACGAAACCGGCGTTAAACAGAGACAATGGTTACGAATTAGCAGCTATCTATGACACCATTCTAACCCCCAAGAGGCGTTAAAAAAAACCTTTTTTAAAATTCATCTTTTTAACATTCATATCATTGACTGATGAAGTCCGGTCGAAATACGGACGAAATATTTCATAAGTTTTAACTTTTAGCTCCGAGTTTGGAAATTTTTAACTTTTATTTTTATGCGTCGTTGTTCATTTGTGAGATTCTCGTAAAAGTGTTTGGGTTGGTGTTCTAACTTCAAAAGTTGGATCTTCCATGGTCAGTCGACTAGCAAGCCCACTCCTGCCAAGCGGTAGCGAATTTATATGCATGTAGTTTAGATTTTACTTAGACTCAGACGACCAGAGTAACCCAGATTGAAAATAGATGGAAAAATAGATAACCAAATGCACAATATTGCATTCATAACCATTACAATTCCTTATTACAAATTTGATTGGTGCATTAGCTGCTTTATTTTTCACTAATCATTCTGTGCATCGGACAATGTAGTCGGACAGTTGGCTGTAATCGGACACCTGTAGTCCGACAGTTGAAGCAGCAGCCAATCATACTTAATCCATTCAGCCAAATCCACCAATCACAGAATAATCACAATAACCGTAGCAACAACCACTTATCCTAAAAACATCT